CACTTGTTTTATCAATCAGATACCAACCACATTGCTTAAATCAAAAAGAACCAAATTTGGAGGTTGGAGAAGAGTTACATAGTCCAAGATGTTCCTGCTGGTATCAGCAGAAGTCACTATGGCACAGTGTGGTTTAAATGATGAAAACTGATACCAGGAAAATAAACCTGATCTGATGTTATTTTGAAGTTAAATATCCTGGAAAAAGAACAATCACAATTGGAATAAAAAAAAATAAATCAGTTTTTCAAGCTTTAAAATGTAGGCTACCTCTAGCTGTTAACAGAATAAGCTGAAATTACACATTCTGTATGAGCAAAAACATTTGAAATTCAGATTGATTAATGTTATTCATTTTTTTTTTATCTTTTTCTAAGGAAAACATTCAACCTAAGAACATATTTCCTCTATGTACTTTACATTCCATTCAAATGCAGTCACAAATCTTCAAACACAGCTAATCAAACATCTACTTGTCAAAGGTAACAGTTTGAAATGCCAGCATTTATGCTTTACAAGAGACTCTAACTTAACTCCTGATGTATTAAAATACAAAATAAAATGTCACAGTTGTTTTAAAATCTTTGAGACTTTCAGGTTTTAACATTCAGCACTTAACTACAAACCACACAGCAGTTCTAGATAAATACTGGTTGCACAAAGTTTCCCCTCTCCCCTTCCTAAATAAATGCACACAGCTCAGTAGAAGTGTAGTCTTTTAGCCCCTTGATATGGTGAAAGAATGCATTTGGGTGCTGGCCACTACAAGAGGATTGCTCCACAAACAAGAATGTAATGCCTTAGTTTGTAATCATCTTTCAACTGGCTGAGTCAAAATTGTTTATGACATTCAAATACAGTGAACGAGACTGTGTAAAAATCAATGTATACATAGTCAGGAAAACCACTTCAGACATTCTCCTTAGATCAGATCTAAGATGTCTCTTTCCCTTCATACTGAACAGCTAGGAAGCTGATCAGCATCCATGATGTCCTTCCCTTTCATTACCTTTCTTTTGGCATGGCTACAATTTTAAGATCTTTATCTCTATGATTTGAGATGACAGATAACCTGGAGCAGCAGAGAATCTTTAATAAGTGATGTGGTGTCTGCCAGTATTTTGCCAATAATAATTGAAATCAGAGGCCCAAATCCTTCTTTCACTCACAGCATCTGGAAGGCAAAAATCACTCTTTCTTGTCATGATTATGAACTCTGAGTAATTAATGCTGAGTCTTATGGTGAGCTTTTGGAGATAATTTAGTTAAGCCTGCAACACTAATGTTCTTCAGGAAGGAAAAAAAATGCAATACTGTGATGGAATAGAAAGATGACTGAAACGACACAGCAATCTACCACCTGAAGCTGGAGAAGCAAAGCCATATCTACGTAACATAATTACTGGTGCACAGACTGTAATTCAAAGTATGTGATAGTGAAAAAGTTCTGTGTATACTCCAGTGCTAAACAGGAACTTTTTATATATTTTTAAAAGCCAAACATATATTTCATAAGCTCATTGACTCTCCTTGGGAGTGATACATATATGCAGATTTGGGAGGTGCAGAATCATTTAAAACTGAAGCCTCCTGAGCTGTACAACAGATGAGCTATGGTGGCACATTAGGCTAATTCTGTCCAATCACCAAATCCAGAATTATTCTACTATAGCTAAACTGATCCATTTTCTAATTATCTTCAATCTGCTCACCTCAAGTCATCAATAAAGGCAGCATCAACACAGAATATTAAAGAAACTCTTTAATTTTTCAGCTTAGCTTTAGTACAGAATGGGTTTTTTTGTTGTATTAAATGACTCCAAAACAGAAATCTGTGTTGCAAGAGGATTAAACATTAGAATAGCCAAGTCAAACAGAGTATCTTTTACCTTTCCTCTCTCACAGTTCCTAAGAATGGGTTTAATGGCAGCCTTTCAAAATATTAATAAGTATTGCAAAATTTTACTTAAAATCTTGCAAAACTGTCACAAGGAAATTAATCCATTACTGATGTCTCCTGAGGCACTCCACTTCAATGTCAACAATTATTTATGATAGTACAGAAAACACAGGGTTGAAATTGCTTTGCTAAGCAAGAAATTGTTTTGTACCTCTCTCTAAGCTAGTTTAGAGATCTGAGAGATCTCTATGAGGTGACCAGAAAGAAGAATGATTTCAAATAGGGGTGGAATGTCCTGGTTTGAGCCAGGATGAAGCCAATTTTTCTTTTTACTGATTTTTTTTTCCTTCAGCAAGCTTTCTTGTAACTAGCAACAGTGTGTTCTGCTAGGCTGATAAGACAGTGGAACGTTTTTCTAACTACTGAGGCTTCAAGGCTGCACCTGCACTCTGCCGGCTCAGACACTATGGGCAGATCTGTGACCCCCCCGTAGGAGGCTGAGTTAGACAGACAGCAAAATTGGCCAAAGATATTCCATTCCATATATCTACGTAAGCTCAGAGGAAGGTCAGAGATCACAGAAGACAACTTCCTTCCTTCTTCTTCCCTTCTCTTCCGTCCATGGCCGGCGTAGAGGGAGGACTCTGTTCATCCATCACCGTCGATCCTCAGGCTTGATCTCTTGTGACCCCCATAACTCTCTGCTTTCTCCAGCAGCAGCTTCGGGATTCCTTGGGACTCTTCCCAGTTCAGGGAAGTGCTGTGGGAGTTGCTGAGGGGGGGGGGGGGTGAGAGGCTTTTGCCTACACCTGAATCTATCTGTATATAATTGTATATATTTTCTTGTATGATTCATTAGTGTTTTAATTAAAGCTGTGTGTTTAGTTTTCAATCCAGCCAAGTCTCTCTCTTGTTCTCTCTCTCCTTCCCTACCTGGGTTGGGGGGAAGGGGGATCGAGAGCATTGTTGTCGGACCTGAGTCAAACGGTGACAACAATAAAAATAATTATACGCAGCTTATAAAAAAAAATGAAGTTTCACAGATATAATTTCTAAATCTTTCCAATGGTGAATAACCTTGATTCCACTATATTCACCATAGTAAAAAAGTCACAGAGTGAAAGAGGTCATCTCCTGATCTGAAGCATGCAGCAAGGGTCGTAGTCTTGCATGTCTCCCATACATTCTAAAAAGTCACAGTAAAATCCTGCCCTTCACCAATAGAAATATCGCATTTGTTTCAATATTTAAATGGATTCATCTGACTTGTTTTAGATGCCTATACTGGGAAAATACATATATTGCCTTAGGAATGATTTTTTTCTCTTCTGACTGTAAAATAAGCAGAGGATGACTGAATTGGTTAGAAACATGTTCAGAGCCAGAGCTTACATTTTTACTTTCTACTATGAGCGCCAAATTCTAAATTTCAAGATTAATTGCCAAAGTTTTAAGTCATCACAGTGCTTGCCTGCATGTAGCAACATATATTAGAAATAAAGGGGGAAATTTCTGTCTTAAATGAGCTGTTGAAATACCACTGAAATGAGCAAGAAATGTGACTAGATCGTCATAGTTAAGTCACTAGCTGCTGAGCAGACCTCCAGCTCAGGGGCTTCAGGGCATATCCAGACTGCATGGGATTCCCTCCTACACTGGTTGGTGCCTGGAGCCAGGCAGTGCTTAGCAGTTCTCATTCTTTGGTCAAATCTGCATCAAGACTTGGTTAAAGATGAGAAAGAAGCTTGGTGATTAGTATTTGCTCTAACCACGCAATGTTGCCCAATCCCTGTTTGGCTGCTTGATCCATGCACATTTTGCTCCAGTTTGGCTTCCCACCACTCTGGTAATCTGGTGGGCTCCTTCCCTCAAGCTACAGCATGGAGCAGGACATCTAAAAGGTTAGTGTTAGTGAACACTGGAGTATCTTGCTGGAAATTGGAATGAGGTAATACTGGTCAAGCTGGTTAGTCTGGACAGGGTTTGGAGGGCTCCCAACCTATCTCAAGTGTGGGAAGTCATGACAGAAGAGATGGGAGTGAGAAGAACGGGCAGAAGAAGGGGATACTGAGATCACAAAAACTGGAAACCACTGGCAACCCACTTTCCCTCGATTGTGACTGAACTCCTAAGAAATTAACTGGAATTGGAGCCTTAATGTGATGTAAAGTTTTATATAAGTACCTCTTTTCTTTAAACAGGTGACTATTGTTTCTCTTCATAAAGTCCTCTGGAAATCAACTGTGATCTTATAAGGTCACTGTCTTGAAAATCTAGTCACACAAGATCTGTGTTATACACAAGTTAAAAGCTTGTGAGCCTTTTGGCTGATGTAATGCTGACATACGTTTGTGTAGAGACAGTGCTGAAATTTGATCAAAAACAAGGCAGGAAAATTAGAAGGTGTATGGCTGGATTTTAATGAAGGTATGCTGATAATTTAAAAATCTGGGGTGTTGGTGCACCTTTGAACACATTGCTTGAACTCTGATGCAGACTCTGAAATTGATATTGTAGTTTGGCCTATATGCATTTATTCTGCATTATGAGGCAAAACTAATTGCTTGCAACTAAGTATGTGCCAAGCATGAAAATTAAAGGCAATTGAATATGAAACTTCCCTGTTAGTATTCTTCTCCTACCCTTATTTTCCAGGTATGAGACATTATAAAAATCAGCATCAAAATAAAAAGAAAAATCAACTTAGCACTGTAAAGTGCACCTATGCCCCTTCCTGTACAGTCAGTTCTCTACCTTCCCCACAAAAGAATCATGAGCTAACTGCAAACAGCTCCCTCTACAGCTTTAATATTAGGCAAAAACGCAGCGTGTAAACCCCTGGCTTCAAAAGCTTGGTTAAGTGCTTAGAAATGCAGCACCGTGAGAAAGAGGAATATACACCAGAGAGGGCAGAAAGTCTGTCACAAAGGCTGCAGGCTGAGATTCAGAAAATCTTCTGTCAGAGAAGGATTCTCTGTCACCTGTGGAAATGGAGTACCTTTGCAATGTACGTTTGTAGGAAAAGGATTAACTGCTCTCTGGTTTATGGGACAGGTGAAGTACAAATGTCTGAACGATCGAACATTATTTGCTTTATACTATGACAGGTGAGCCTTGGCAGAACTCATGTATGCATGTGCATGGAGCAAGAGAAGAGAGGGTGTGAGCTAGCTAACCAGTTGTGTCAAACGTTTTGTGTGGTGAGGCATGAATATTTCGACATTCAGAATCACAGGATCTAAATTAATTAATCCAACATTACTTCCACTGGACCAGCTGCCCTCCAGAGCAGTCAATTCTGAGTCAGAGTGGTGGTAGCACCCTTGGCTCTTGACAGCCGCCCAAGCTTTGCAGTCGTTGAAGCTAGTTGTCACCTGTAGGCCAGTTTCACCAGTGTTCTATAAGGTGGCCAACAGCGGGGAAACAAGGGTTGCTACAAGTTTGTGCGAGGAATTAGGGAGACACGGGCTGCAGGCCTGTCCAGGTGTGCCTGGGCAGCCAGGTGAGCACAGGCACGGAGCCGGGGCTGCAGCCGCCGGGCCACACGCTGCCCCTTCCCTCCGTCCCCTCACACGACAGCAGCGCCAAAATCTTCGCGAAGATCCCCTACCACTCTTGCTCAACCCCGGGATGTCTAAGCGCTTCCGTCAGCCCTGCTCCTGCTCCCGGTGACCCCGGCAGG